AAAAAAAAAGGGAAAATACTTCAAAAAAATCCCCTTTTCTTCACTGTCAAGACACAAGAACTTAAATCACCATAATTTCTTTTGAAATCATTATAGTCTTCTAAAAAACCTCAAAAATTTGTTTTGGAAAATAACGCTTCAATCATCTGTCATCTTTTCCACTAGCCATGCTGAAATGTTGCTAATGAGGGCAGTTGGCAGAGGCTTTTCTAATTTTTGAACACTAACATTCATAGCACACTAACATCAGGATTTTTTTTTTTTCATTCTCATACAGAAAACACACGATTTCTGCATTGGAAAGCTTTCTTGTTATTCCCCTCAAAATATGTTAAGCAATTATTTATAAAAAGCATCTCATATAAGAACAGCTACCGCAAAATTAGCTCCACATACTGTCTCTGACATTGGTCAATAGCTGGCACCTCATAAAGACTATAACAAGACAGAAACACTTTAGTAATTCTTCCTAGCTTTCAGTAAGTACTCTTATCAGTGATAAAAATGACATTTGTACATCTGCAGGAATTTATTTCTCCCCCCTCCTCCCATTTCACTTGAGGATCTTAATTCATGCCCTGGAAGAGAAGTGAATAAATGCACAGCAAAGGCAGGTAAGTAGCAACTAGTTGATCTCCCTCCTTAAAGGAACAAGTTATGTTGGCTGCTGAAGGTGACTAGACAGTGTGAGAAGCGAAGTGAAGGGCACCAAACAGGTTATATATTCCAAACTTGTATTTTAACTCTTTTCTGAATTTATTATGCTTCCAGAATTAGTTAACAGCCAAGTCCTAATTTAGTCTTTTACAGGGGATATGTGTTCCCGGGGAATGGGAAGTGATGACAGTAAGAGACCATAGCATCTTTTGAAAGCTACAGTCCAAAATGACAGATAAGTTCACAAGTTTCATTGACCCCACAGACGTCTCAAACTTTTTAAATCTGGAACTAATATCTTCTATTTTCCCCTTAAGAACACAGATAAAGATTAGAAACTGAGAATTTTAAACAATATTTTATAGGCCAAAAGTGCCAATGACTTGTCTTACATATGAACAAAGAAATAATGCATCATTCTGTTCTGAGTATTCTTTGGCCACATCTGAGCTAACAACTACCAGATCCCTCAAGTATAAGAAAATGTTATAAAAAGCAGAGCTTAAGACAAACAAAACCCTTCCACAACCATCTAAAATGCATTGAAACTGCATTAAAATGATAGGAAGTGAGCAAAATCAACATCTTAAAAGTGAAATTTTAGATACATCATAGTATCTCACACCAAATGCTAGTTGTTTGAAAACAGGAACTTGATCCCACGTGGACAATACAATTTCCACTTGCACCTAAAAAAAATGTAATGACTTCTTCAGTTAGACAAACAGTGCCATTCTTTTCTTTTTGTATACTTTGAATTTAATACTCTTGTCAGTGATTATCAAATATAAAGTGAAAACCTCACATTCAGGGAAGGAAGCACCAAGTTCCTGCATGTTGCTACTCCTGCTTCATGAAACTTCCTAGTTTCCTAATGCAGCTGTAAAAGTATCATTCTACTGCATGTTGAAGAGAACACCCTACAATTTGTCATAGTAGAAACTGCTTGCTTTAGGGTACTTCAACACATACTAGGCCTTTAGCTTACTATGACAATTGTGCTGAGTTTAAAACTGAAGACTACACATTTGAAATAAATCAGCAATAAATAAAAAACTGAAATCTAACAGGAAAACTAACTCTTCAGAACAATTCAAGAGACAGTCTATCCAGCAGTATGACAAGGACAAATTTTACAAAGATTTGTTTCAAATACCAACTTAACATTCAGCATTTCAGTCCTAAATCACAAAGTCTTACAGACAGGAAACCACTTGCTTCTGTCTCCAAAGGTGTCTTGTGGTCTGCCAGTGTAGTTTGTGGGTACACAAGTTAATTCTAATCTTTCATACCACTCCTGTAATCTAGGTAATACATATGAGCCTTGCAACATCCAACAGGAAGTAGAGACAGCTGCTGTGTAATATATATACAGTGACTGTATGCACAAAGGGGTAGTATATGAAATGAAGAACTTAACTGTTTGTAAATCATTTAATTTCATTCAATTTGAATTAAAAGTAAAAAAAAAAAGTGGCAATTACAAAGTACCTCTTCCCCTTTCCTCCCTCCAGTAGTTCATTTCAACAAAAGTGACAAACTTAGTTTATGACATCTGTTTTCCTTAAGCCCTCGAACTTTACTTAATGCAAAATGAGAGCAGCCCAAGCTTTCCACAGCTTTCACCCCTCCCTTCAAGTTAGCTGCTTACTTTAGCACTACTTACTGAAATAAGATGTCTTTTTTCCATAAGAATTGCTTACACCTAACAGGTTAGCATCTAATCAATGGGAACTTCTCTGAAGTCCTAGTGCCCAGTGTACAATTAGTATGCAAGCCGAATAAGAAAGTCTGCAATGCCTGCATACTCCTGTCATTTACATTGTATCAGAGCAGGTTAAAACTGTAAGGTCAAGGGACAGAGTATAGATAGCATCATCAGATCTTACTTCTGTACCAAAGGCAGGTGAGACAAGCTGACAGAATTTACTGACAAGTAACAAAGCTGCTTGGCAGCAATTGCAGCCTGTCAGAGCTGTGCAGTATGCAACAGCACTTAAAAATCCACTTAAAAATTACAGGAGGTCAGGAACATTTAGGTAGAGATGTAAGAAAGAAAGTACAATGGAAGAACAAAAGTATTGGCTGTGAAGACTAATAAAAATTGCAATAATAAAAATTGCAATAGAACATGAGAACATGCAGAGTCTAGTGGATTTTAAAAGCTCTGAAAAATTAAGGTCATAACTTCCTATCTGCATCTGTGGCAATTCTAAAATTTCAGGTTTTCATGCTAGGGTTTCAGCCTTCAATGAGAAAGCCATACGACAGGAGATAAGTGGCTAGCTTTGTGTCTAATAAAACAAAACAATCAGTAAGAAGGGAAGCATAACTCTAACATGACACTAAATATACATGACTTCTCAGATGAATCACTATTGCAAACTACTGCAGTCTGAATGTCCTTTCATCATGCAACAGTTCTTTGAATTTTGATTGGCTGTGTAAAACAAAAGATGGCTGTCAACTTTCTCAGGAATCAACACTGATGTGACTGACATATTTACTAAAGTTAAAATTGCAAGTTAATAATAATTGATTCATAGGCACATGAACTCAGTTTGAAAACTGCCTTGAGGAAATTAAAGATGAATTCTGCATTTTACTGAAGACAAAAGAAAGCATTAAACTTGCACTGAGAAGAAAAAGTCATTAACAGTCCCTTCAGGATCAATTTTTCTCCTTAAAGCAAAATATGCGAAGTATCTGGCTTTTTGGGAATTCTACAGGTAGCTTATTTTCTCATAAGAAACAAAGTAAGCTGCTTATTGTCCTTCAATAGAAAATGTCTGGTTATTGATTTTTAAATTTGTTTTTAGTGAGCTTGCTGATTGGTAAAGGTGCTGGATTGAGGGCTCTCGAGACCACCTTCTATCTAGAAGTGAGAGCATTCTGAGATCCTCCGCTCTACTGTAGCTCCCAAAGGACAGATCCTAACAACCTGATGCTACTGGGATTTTACAACACTAAGCACACAAAGAATGAATGTGCTCTAAAAAGAAATATATCAACAAAGCAAACAAAATTAATTACTTATATTTATAATACACAGTCTGCTCCAGAAGTAATGCCTCCCATTTTATTATGTTGGTCCACAACATTACAGGCACATGTTGGAGATAGGGCAGCAGAGGTTTTGTACCTTCCCTCCAATACTCCATTGCATTCTGTTGTTGTGCAACAGATGGCAGCAGGAGGGCACTCTGACAGAATAGTGTCTGCAGATGAAACAAAGGTGAGTCACTCAATTCCTCCATGTGGGAAGAAAACAACACACAGTGAAATTCATCAAAGCTTGCTGAACACTTACAGAGACTAAACAGCGGATGTGAGAACAGTGAGAAAGTGGGTGGTGTCAGCAGGGGTGACAACACTGAAGACGAGCCATGTTCCAGATGGTCATACACGTTTATAGAAGCATGGCATGCAAGCTCTTGTTCATCACTGGTAAAAATGCATGGCTACTGGCAGTGAGTATGGTAAACAGTAGTGTTTTGTAGCTGAGAATTCACTCTAACAGCATTATCTGTATATCCATGGAAATAAATAGGAGGCATTACTTTCAGAGTGACTTACATACTACAGTTTTTAACTACTACCAGAGCTGAGTTCTACGGGACACATGGAAGCAGACTATAATGAAAAGGTGACCAGACATTTTGCACATAGTGCAGTGATAAGATATTTCTTCATAACGCAGGATGAACTGAAATAAGCCAGTGAGCACAGAGGTTACATAAGCCATCTCAGTTTCAGGACCCTCTGATCTTTTTAACTAACAGTTACTACAACTATTAAAGCAAGGAAGTTTGAAGATAGAAATTTCATAGGTCAAAGGTTTTGGCAGTTAAAAACTGTATCTGTTAAACAGTATTAAGCAAGCATCCTTTTTCTTTTTAAGCAATCCCAGAACACTACCACAAAATTAGTCCTCATAATAGCAAACATCAAAAGAGATCTCTACAGACTCTTCTGCATATGCAAACAGTTTATTTTCTAATTGAATTAACCTTAAGACCTGTACCAAGTGAAAACAAAGGAGCTTGTTTTCACGCTTCCATCTCTGAACACAGCAATGTATGATCAACTCGTGAAATCAACAAGATGGAAGAAATGCCATTCTCAGTAATATCAAATCATATAATTAAGCATGTTTTGGTTTTCTTACACATGAGGTTACAAGGACAATGTGCATATACAAGTATTTGTTTTATTGCATTTATTTCAAATAAATTAGCAAAACCAGGTAATGAAGCTTTAACAGCTAGTAGAAAAGAAAAGCCTGCTATGCTTAAAAGATATGACAAAAGGTACAAGATATCAGGCAGTATTTTACCACTTACCTCATGATGCAGCTCAGCTATCTGATCTTTCAGTTCTCTGATATACTGGTTAGAATCAGATTTATTAAGCTGCCCTTGAATCTTTCCTTCTTCTTTCTGTTTTGGTTAAAAAAAGAATCTTATTCAAATTGTTCACAAATATACAATCTTAAAATGCTATTTTAGTTCTCTGCATATTTTTATCATGCACAGATATTTACACACTTCTCAGCATTTTTCACTTGGATGAAGTTTTCTGCAGGTATCCAGGGGCATTAGCAGCTCAGAACAAGTTGATCCACTAGTGAACACTACGTATTCCACTAGTGAACACTATGTATGACAAGTTTAGTTTTCTCTTGAGGAGTTTTAAAATACAGTGATACTTATTGTGTAGGAATATTACAAAGCAGAAGGGAAGAGAGGAATGTTCCCTGATGTCACTGCTGTAAGAGGTACAACAATAAATTGTACAATGATAAAGAGATGAAGAGGACATTTATTTGTCAAGTAAATGCTGTTATTAACTGCAGATGACTTTATCTTGAAACATTAAGCCTCCAGCACTAACTTTCAGCTTGTCTCTAAATATCACCAAATCCTTGGTAGATCTCAAAAAAGATTCTTTTTTTCCCCCCAGATACATAATTTCTGAAGCAGTCACCAACTGCGGCAGAAATCTTGTAAGTCTTTGCACCAATTGCAAATCACACACAACCAATATAATACAGAAATCCAACTGTACATGGAACACATGGCTTTCTAACAGTAGCTCATTTCGCTGAATTCCTACGTAAGCTTGAAGAAAGTAAACAATGATTTTCAACAAGCAAGCTCAAAGTAATTTGCAAACAGAATTTCAGTAGAATGAGAAGTGTCAACTATTCTTCAAAATACAGAACAAAAAACTTTAACTGAGAGCTTTCCCTGAAGCGTCCCCAGGACACAACATGTGCCAGGAAGTTAGTGGCAATGCACTGCCTTCCAAACCATTTTACTAAAGAGAAGAGCACTGAGTAGTGTCAGCATTTGCTATTTCAAAGACATTTCTCTTTTAAAGCTGTTTTTTTTATTGCATCAGAGTACACTAGTTAGTTTGTGATATTTACTATTAACTCACGTAAATTACAATGAAATAGTAGTGCATTATACCACACTGCATTCAGTTCCAAGCCAATCCATGGCTCAAATTCACACACACCAAGTAAGTAGTATCATTATTTTTCCTATGCTAAAGAGGTTAAAAAAAATGATGTATATAAAACTCATCTCCCTTCACAAGAATAACTATTAATTAATATTCAGTTACAAACAGAAGGAACATAACTTAGAGATCAAAAGTGAACAGTTTACACTCATCTACAGAAAAAGCTTCACCAATGCTAAGAATTTAGACAAGAATGATTTCATCTCTTGTGACAGCAGGAGTACATGGAAGAAATGTTCATTTAAGTCCTTCATTTGAAATGGACTTTTCCATTTTAGCGTGTTGTTCCTTTGATTCCAAATTACTACATAACCACAAAGCAAGGTGTCAGAAAGCAAATCTGAAGCCAGCTTCTTACACCAAATATAAGACAGGTGCCACAGCTTTTTTTTTTTTTTATAGTAAACATCTGAAAGCTGCTACTATATACCATACAGAGTATACATTATTGGGAATAATATATCATTAAACTTAAATGATTTTTATTCTAAATAACACCGTAAAGTTAATATGTATCACAGAACAATTTAATATTAAGTTTGCTCATGGAAAAACAGTCTACCTCCAGTCAGCTTAAACTGAACATCAATACAATCCTGGCTTGCAAGGTCCTTGTCACTAATAAAGATCAAACACAGTTTCAGTTTTCCTTTCATAACTCAGATTTTGTAAAGGTGACAGTTCATCAAAATGTGTTTAGCACAGGAACCCTGCAATGTGATTTACTACAACACATTTTTTAAAGAAAATTTCTGCTGCAACCTCCTCTTGCAACATTCAAAACACTAGAGGTCAGAAGACAATCCTTTTACCTAGCTGCAAAAAATTTAGAAAGCCACAAGTATTTCTAAGAAACTGAGTCCATGTTCTATAAGCTACAAAGCCTATTTTCAGTGGGTAAATTGGAAGGGTGCCACACAAATTTTAGGTAACATATCAGAATCCTCTTCATAGCCGCTATTCATTTCTCAGAGCAGCAAAGACTTTTTTTCTACCTATTTTATTTTTTCCTTCCAAGGTGTTTATGTCATTACTTCTTTAAAAGGCACTCATGCAGGTGCACAAGCAAACCACTGGAAAACATGCAGTTATCACACGTTCTAGAATTAAAATATTTTTCAGCTTTTACAAAAATATTATTTGTTCTATAAATCAGATAAGCAGACAGTTGAAATTCTACACCTGTCAGATAAAAGCAATTTAAAATATTTGTGAATATTTGTGTTCATCTGACAGTGTATGAGCCTTGTTACTCTTCATTATTTAGAACTCTAAGGGACTGATGTTTCTCTTCAATACAAAACTGTTTTTCTTTTCAGACATTTTGTATTTATATTGAATTCACATTATTTCCTAGCAATTTTCAGCTTCTAGTAAGTATTTGTTAATCAAAGGCAAATTTTAGTTTTTGTTGTAACATTCTTTAACACTAGTTTTTCATTGTGACAATTGATAAGAGATCAAAATCTGATGACAATATGTGCAGTCCCTTTTAATATTCCAGAAAGCAATAGGAATGTCTTCCCCTACTATTATTTTTCTGGTATGTCACAAACACAGAATGCTTTCTCCTAACAATTCTGTAGTTCTAGAGCTCATCTCAACCTACACAAGGTAATATATACAACAGTATCTTGCACTTCCTGACTACTATTAAAATAAAAGAAAAAACACCAAGAACTTTATTAATCAAGGGATCTTGGTAATGACCTGACAGCCTCTTTTCAATGACCACTGTCACTGTGCACATATCTTTAAATAGCAAAAACCACCACTACCTAATATAAACCCCAATTCTGTCCCCCTGCAGGTTAGATTCCCTCCTGTGCATCATAGTTCTAGATTACATTAGATACACTTGGGCCCTAATTTTTATGCCACTGTGACTACTTAGAAGTGCATACAGTAAGCATACTAATGCTTGACACATTTGTCTCGCACAAGAAAACCACACATGGGACTTGAAGTTCATGCTGAACTTAGTGGCTTATTAAGAAAGGTTTAGCAACTTCAGCTTGGCTTTTTTTCAGCCTCAAATATGGTACTATATTACATAGATAAAATTTTAACCCTTCAAACTGATCTAGCCATGTGGCATAGGGCAATTTGATAGAGCTCCTTGCTCTCAGTTCTACATGTGAATTAAACTTGCCCTGAAAAGAGGGACAGGGAATTAGTTAGGCTGCAAGTGACATGGAAGTGGGAAAGAAAGTGAGAAGTGAAGACAATAACAAGCACTGAAGAGAATTTGAAACAATTCAATACTTCAGGCAGCAATACTGGCGCACTCTTGATGATTACATCCTCAGCATTCACTAGAAAACACCTTTTTTTAAGAATAACTTGAGTTGGGGAACAGAGGACCACCTGCCCAAGAGATCATGGTCCAAGCCCAGCAGCCTACAATCAGAACAGTTTCGATGCATTTCTTCTTAATCAATCCTATTACTATTGCTACTTTCACGTTTCAAGTGTTGAGCCATGCAGATGTGTGCTGGAAGATGTGTGTTTTTAGTATGGATTGATCTGGCAAGTCTTCCACAGGAAAAAAAAAGAAAATCCTAATCTCATCTGTCTTAAATTGTAAGAGTGCTCAAGCACAAAGGAAATAAAACTTATCTTGTGTAAAACCTCCTAGAAAAAAAAGGGGGAGCTAACTGCTCTACTCACGGTCTTCCTTTATTCTAAATCCGGTTTTGACTTTCTTTAATTAAGAAAAGGTGTACCAACAACAAAGTTCTCTGTTTTCATTAAATCACATTTCCATATGCTTTGACTTCCTCATTTGCTAGATGGTCCCACTGACAGAAAAAATAAACTGCTTTCATGAGTTATTGAATGCTTCCTGTTGTACCATTTAGTTCAGTAGGAACCAAGCATTTAACTCAGCTGGTTTTATGTTGTGCTTCAGTAGGTTTGTCTTTCTGAAGAAAACTATCAGATAACTGGACTGGTTCAAAAATGAATGTTAAATTTTAAGTGGTATCTTAACATGTGTTTAAGGTATGGATATCACACCTTCTAAAAGGAAATAACATAAGCAACTAGTACTCTTTCTTCACAAGAGTTTAAAGATCTAATATTGTATGCATAGGATGTGGTTAATTGTTCCTTCGTTGTCTTTTTTTTATTGAGCTAGAACACAATTGCAGAAAATCTGTGGTATTTGGAGAGGTCACAATACAAAAATGCCTGGCCTCCTGACAACTAATAGACACTTTAAGTTCAAAATAATGTTCTTAAAGAAACTAGGTAACATCAATAAGCAAAAAGGATTAAGTAATTGAAATAGCGTAGGAATTAAAGTTAGGCAAATGGAGAATCAAGGACTTCTTGAGTAAAAACCCCCATCACAAGTAAATCAATCTCTACATGAATTTCCACAGTATATTGCTTCTGCACATTGGCAACACTGCAGTGCCCATCTCCCCTTCTCAGGAAGGATTTTAGAAATGTAATACTAGTTGGTGCTGTGTCATTCAAAAACCATCATTCCAATTTTATCCACTCCTTGTCTTACTGTATCTTCAAATGGACCAGCTCCTTCAGCACTGACACAGTTACAAGTCTCGGGGGGGGGGGGGGGGGGAAACAAAACCTAGTGGGCAGGAATCAATTCTGCTCAAGAAAAAAGTACCTGCAACAGATGAAGCAGCCACATGTAGTCCAAACTGACTTGAGAGGCTACATAAGGAGGGAGTAGCACAGGCAGTGGAAAGGCAGGAAATGAGCCCTGAAGACTAAAAAGCAACTGCTAAAATATTTAAGCCCCTTCAGTTGTGGGACTCTCACCTCCCTCACTCTGCTCTGAAGTACTAGAGTTACTGCACTTGTCTGCACACCAAGATCTACTACAAGAGCACCTGAGAACGTATCTTTTCCTCAAAGTTTTGCTTCTTAGACTGAGTAC